GTTACAGACCTTCCTCCTACTCACTGCCCAGTTCCTGGTTTCAGGGCCCATGATGACTTCAACTTGATATATGCAGCATGACAAATGGGTACATTGGGAAGGTTAAAAGTATTTGCAGGGGCTGGTGAGATGGCTCAGTGGTCTAAAGCACCTACTTAGAACAAGCTTAGCAAAGCACAGGGACCATGGTTCAATCCCCCAGCACCACATGCCAGCCAGCCCCACCCCCTGGTGGGCTGAGCTGGACACACACACACACACACACACACACACACACACACACACACACATAAATAAATAAAATTAAAAAAAATATTTGCAAAGGGAAGTTTAAGTATTACATTTATAAAGTTTAATTTCATTAAAAATATGGCAGTTGTAGCGAGAAATGACAAAAACAACATTACAGAGGCCCAGTCAGTCCTCAAGTCTATCCCTGTGAACCTCAGCCTACTGGCCCATCCTGTTGTACACAGGGAGCATCTAGCCATGAGCAGTATTATCAAAACAAGGCCATGAATCTACCTTATGACCAAGCAAATCCATGACTGAAGTACAAGCTTTCTCATGGAAATAACTAGAAAGACACGTATAGCCTACACTATTACAATTAGGTGTGTAAAATCCTTTCCATCTCTGCCCAGAGCCACAGCTCTCTCACAGGAGCCATGAGACTCCCTGGCATGAGGCAAAGGTAAAGGAGGCACCCTGCCCTGGGCAGAGTGCCCAAGGCACTCAAAGTAGTTATGGTAGCAGCCAAGGACAGCTAGAGTTTCATTTATTATTCATTTAAGATTAAAACAAGGAGTGTATGATCAGTTTCTCTCAGCTTCCACTTAACCACTTTTTAAAAGTGTTTTTTCACAGCCAGGTGTAGCTGTGTATGCCTGTAAGCCCAGCTCCTGAGGTCAGGACAGGAGGATTGCAATTTCAAGGTAAGCCTGGGCAATGTAGCAGCTCTGTCTTCAATTTTAAAAGATTTTATTTTTAAAGAATGGGGATATATGTAGATTAGTGATAGTTCCTTGCCTAGCAGGCAAGAGACCCTCTAAGTTCAATCCCTAATTCCACCACCTAAACGAAACAACCAACGAAATGAAAACATAAAACTTTTTCCCAAGACATGAGGGATAAAGAAGAGTAGAGAAAAGCTGCACACATTAATCGTGGTTCATAGTGGAGGCACTGATGCAAATGATCACTATTCTTGTTTTATACAAGAAGGAGGCCCATGGTTACTGATGCCAGGCTTTCTGTTCTTGAGCATTGCAGAGAAAGAGAACAAGGAAAAGAGCCCCATATCATATGATGTTCCGCTTGGAAAATCTCCTTTTCACTCTGAGACAGAAATGGATTTGTAATTACTTCCATTAGGAAATTATTACTAAGAAATATACTTACTTAATTATTACTAAGAAATATACTTGTAAGAGATATAAATATATCTCTTACAAGATATCCAGCTAGAAACAGCTTCACTGGGAGACTGGGAAGGTTGGAAATTACATAGCAAATTTGATAGCAGCTGCAAGGCCAAAAATGTTAGATGTCATTTCCAAAATAACTAAGTGAAAATACTCCCGTTTTAGAACCACTCACTAAAAGTGTAAAATCTGGACATATTCTT